CTATAAGAAAGCAGGTTGAGCAGGCCAGTAAGCAGCTCCCCTTCATGGTCTCTGCATCAGCTCCTGCCTCCAGGTCCCTGCCCTGTTTGAGTTCCTGTCCTGACTTCCTTCGATGATGAACAGTGCTGTGGAAGTATAAGCCAAATAAACCCTTTCCTCCCCAAGTTTTTTGGCCATGGTATTTGGTCACTTCAATAATAACCCTAACTAAGACACGTGGCATGGTGGTATACACCTTTAATCCCAGCACTCAGGAGGCAGTCAAGCTGATCTCTGTGGGTTTTAGGCCAGCCTAATCTATACAGTGAGTCCCAGGCCAGACAGGGCTACATAGGGACAGACTCTGTCTATATAAATTAACCAACTAAAGTTAATGTACCAGTTTTAAAAATCAATTTAAAAAGTAATTTATTTTATTTTTAATGCTGAGTCCCCTCTACTACTTACTATTGTTCTGGGTGCTATCCTCCAACCTTTGTGTCCCACCCAGCCTGTCCATCCATTCCTGGGCAGGGGAAATGAATGTGCGGGGGTGAGGGGGGGTCAAGTTGCAACTTTGCAATGGAATGCAGACAGGAGATATGGTCAATCATCAGCATGCACTAGGGTGTTATGAAAAGAACTGTAGTTAAAGAGAACCCTTTTTTGACTCCATGTCTGCTTATAACCCACCTGTCCAAACGTGCCTCTCAGTTAAGGGCAGGAAAGGGAAGACACGGGTAGAGAAGGGAAACACTATCATTTTGCTCCAGGGAATAGAGTAATTTGGGACTTCGTGGCCTCTTGAAGTTGAACTGGTATCACCTGTCCTACACTTTGTTCTAAAGCATGAGGAAGTGGGAAGGGGGCTCTGGCAGCTGCTAGCACTCTCTGCCAGTCAACCAGAAAAAAACTCAAGGGCTGTGGGATGTCCCAGAAGGCAGGCCATGTGGTGGCCATGCCAAGGCCATTCCCCCACAAGATGCCCACGAGGACCACCTGAGGGCTGTTCCCCGATCATGGAGGGCAGAGGGCTCACCCAGGAAGAGTTAGAGCAGTGCTTTCCTGACAAGCCACTCAAGAAGGGCTGTGAAAGGGTCAGCGGAAGTTCCCCACTTTAAATCTTTCCTGTTTCCTTTCTTCCCTGTGCTTACCAAGCTGACTTTCGTGGTCTCTGCCTAATCTGGATGGAATTTCCTCCTCCACCCACCTGGCATGCGCCCTACAGTCTTGAGCTCTTCTGACCATGGGCTCTTTCGTCTACCTCACAGGCCAGTCTAAGCCACCATACCACTTGCCACCAGTTAAAGGTTCCTGCCAAGCCCAGATTAGAGAGAAGCCATTTGGACAAGAGCCTGCAGACAGCCAGGCATCCTAGGTCCCTGACTTGGTATCCCTCTGCTGGTTGCTACAGTCATGGGGGCACTCAGTGGTCCCACCAGTCCGACTCTATTTAAATGAAGCATTAGCATCTATCACACAGACTGTGGGGAAAAAAGGTTGGAAAAAATTAATGCAGGTCTTCCAGTAGGAACTTAAATAACCTTGGGCTATTGCTGCAGGGGAATCAGAGATAAATTAAGGACCATCAAATTCTATGATGCTCATATTTTGTTTGGAAATGGAGTTTTTGTTAGGTAGCTCAGGCTAGCCTTGAACTCACTATGAACTCAGGCTAACCTCAAATTCTCCATCCTCCTGTCTCAGCTTCTAAGTGCTAGGAACCAATGCATGCACTATCTGGCCTGGCCAGAAGTGCTTTTTCACAGTCTCTGGGGAACATGACCCAAACAGAACTTCAACAGTGTTTCTTCCTGCAAAAGCCATTCCTGATTATATAAAATACTGTCACCAATCTGTCTTTCAAATGCTCAGCCCACTAGTGGATCAAAATCCACAGTTTGAAAAAAACTGGACATTAGAGTAACATTGAGAGGTGACAGACTCTCATGAAAAAGCAATTTTAGTATTAGAACAGTAAACATCTGTAAGTCCTCTTACTGTACTTAAGACCACAAAACCAAGGAACTCAGCAGACTTAGAGCTACAAAGGACCTGCTCTGGGTTCCACAGCTCACATATCCTAGGAGAGCAAATCTGAAAAGGCAGGCTGATTTCACATTTACCAATGGAAAGGGGGGGGGGGGGGGGGGGGAGCTGCCTTTTCAAAAATCAAAGAAAACCTTTTTTTCTTCCCAAGATACGATTTACATGCATTTGGTTTCAGTTGTAACAATTAACATGAAAGGACAATAGGTGTGCCACAGAAAAGGGGGACAGGTTAAAGATGAAGGGAGTGCCCACCCCACAACAAAACCTAAGCACACTGAGGCAGAGAGCAAGTGACCTGAAGGCTGCCAACCCAACCCAGGTCTCCTGACTCAATTACTCAGTCTTCATCATCCAAAACATTTAAGAGGGACGCAGCTTCAGTCCTCTCCACGTGAAACCTTCCCATGACTGGGTCATGGTGGTGTCTCTGCCACCTCAGGCTAGCCACAGACAACTGTGGTGATCTGGGTAACTCTGACTCACCTGCTGCCTACTTGAAGTCATACAGCTTGTGCCACATAACTTTCTCTGTGCTTTGTCTTTGAGAGAGCCAGACAGAAAAGACAGAGAAAGACAGACATACTGAGTGAAAGAAAGAAGAAACCCTTGCTACCCAAAGAAAGTTGCAGCGAAACACAAAAGGAACTTCATACCCAAGCCTGTGGGTCTGAGAACTGCAGAGCCCAAGGGTCACTAACCAAAGCCAGTATCAAAATCTCAGACCTAGAACTTGCTGACTGGCAACAACAAAACTTCATTTTTAAAGCAAGCCCCATAAAGTGAATACTTATGACAATCAAGATAGACACACACACACACACACACACACACACACTCATACCTTTTGTTTGTCCATTCACAGATGGGAACTTTTTGGAAAAGACTAAGCACACAGGTGAAGTCTGAATCAAAACAGATAGGGGAAAGCATGGGAGAACTAAACACAAGGCACATTACTTACACAGAGGAGACAAATGCCTTGACTGTCAAATAAATCAAAAGGCATCAATAATTGTTTCTAACCTTCAAAGAAAGCTAAAGTGATCCTTGAACCAGAATTCACGGCAAAGAGGTACCAGGCCTCACAGGTGGAAGGGTTCCTTTGATGGAATGTCATCTACAGGTCTATGAGTCTGTTCAAATTAACAACTCCTAACTTTCCCCTGCCTCTAACCAAGATACATTACACTGCAGAAATGTCACTACATTTGATCTGTTCTTTCCTATACTAATGCCATGACCTTTGACATCCTATATGTCCGGGTCTTTCTGAGGTGGTTTAAAAAGCTAAGGCAAGTTTCCCTCACTCATTCCTCAATAGTGGCAGGCAAGGAGGATTGCATGATTCCCCACTAGGCTAGTGAAGGGACAGAAATGATGACTCTGGAAGGCAGGCCTTGCCTTATGCTCAGTGTCTGTTCTCACTGGACTTGGCCTGTCCAGCCATGGACTGCCAGCTCTGAGAAAACCCAAATATTCACACCTGCTCAGGTGGGGCCCACATCAGCAATAAGGTACTAACTTGTGTGTACCTACCTGGTCCCCTGCCTTACAAAACAACTAGAGTTCAGTGGGGCCCCCCCCCCCCGCCCCCAAGTTCCCCAAAGCATACTGGAGGGACAGCCCAGAATTCAAGGGGCTAAGACTCAGAGCAAGCTCCTCTGTTCCCCTCCCTTGTGCCTCAGTTTATTCATGTTAACTCCCAGGGATGTCCCCCACATGTTAAATGAGTTCCACCCCTAAAAGTCGGTGCAGGTATTACTTCCTGTATTCCCCCGCCCCCCAATCCGGTGCCTCTCCAGGTCCAGCACTGGCAGCTCACGGTCTATTAATCTCACCTGTTCAAGCCGCCTCTTGACAGAAGCGCATGTGAAACTACCAGGGGGAAGTGACGGGGTCAAACTGGAAGCCTATTACACAACCCATAGCCGTGTAACACCAGTTTGCAGGTCCACTTCGCAGCAAGCAAAATACTGCAAACGACCCTGTAGGTCCCACTGCCTCCCAGTAGAACAGTAGAATTGGGTGGGAAGGGAGGCGTCACAGGGACTATCATCGATCCAGTATCCCCCAAGAGATGTCCTGAGCCTGGGGATATGAGCTGGCTCGTCCCCAGCCCCTAAACTACCCCAGAGCAGCAGGCACGCGCTGGGGCCAGAGGGCGCACGGCTGGGGAGGGTGGGGGGAGGTTAGGTTTCTCCGAGGAGCTCAGCTAGCTCGGAAGCCGCGCACGTGCAGCGCCCGCGCGGTCGGAGGCGCAAAGCCATAGCCACCGCCACAGCCGTGCTTGCCATTTTGTACCCCGCAACCGCGGCGTGGATCAAAGTGTGGGGCTCCCCGGAGGGATCTGGAACACTCCCCCAAGGCATCTCGGAAGGAGCAACGCGGCGTGCTTCCCGGAGCCCAGGCTGCACGCGCCCAATCCTGGAGAGACCCCTGGCTTGTTGCTGCGCCGACCGGCAGCTTCGCGGCGCTGCCCTGGGACAGGCACTGCGCGGGATGCAAACACGCGCGCGCGCTCCTACGGCTGCTCTCTCGGCTCCTTCCCCCCCCCCCCCCCACCCCCCCCCCCCCCCCCCCCCCCCCCGCCCCACACACCCCCCCCCCCCCCCCCCAACGTGTGCATGGTGGAGTGTTCCAGAATCCCAGCCATCGCTCCCGCTGTCATGTGGGTGGACACCGAGGCGCTGGTCGGTAGGTTCTCGTAGTCCTCCGACCCGGCGTCCTTGCTGCCGCAGCCGCCATCGCAGTCCCCATCCATCCTCCGGCCCGCAGCCTGGCTCCCCACGCCGCCGCGATGGAGCTCCATCCGCAGCCCCGCGGGGCGCGGGAGGCGGCAGGAGGTGGGCAGAAGGGGGAGGGGGAGGAAAACTTCACTTCTTAAAGTGGGAACCTCCTCCCCGGGGTTGCGACGGCTGACGCCATGGCGGGCTGGGGTGGAGCCGAGCGGCCCGAAGCACCAACGGCAGCGGCCGTGCTATTGGTGCGCCCGGCAGTGGGCACCCTCCTCCCTGTGTGACGTCGCAGCCCGCTGCACATTTCCAAGCAACCGGATAGGGACGAGAGCCGATGTTGGGATGTCCCGGGAAGTTGTACTACCTAGAGGTTAGTGACCATCTGCAAAGGACAGTCATATCCCTGGGGAGAGTCAGCCCAGAGCTACAAGATAAGGAACAGGAGCTGCCCCCGGAACCGGTGGTCTTGCAGACACTGGTCACACAGCTTTAGCATTCCTAAGGCTGGGGATCTGGTAGGAGGGGAGGTTAGTTTACTGGGAATGTAAATAATGAAGCCTGATGGGTGGACCCGATATCAGTGGGTGCACCTTTTGAGCTCCTCTAGGGCATATTCCAGGGAGTGAACAGTTAACACTCAAGGTCCCCTGTTCTATTCAGCTTTGCTTGGAGAGAGCTTCATTGATTGGGAAGTATGTTTCTCTTCTGAAAATAACAAAGGGCTAAGTGTGTTCCTCTTTTTTAATTTTGAAGATCCAAGTCCACTATCCTGGATTGACCAAGACAACAGAACCCATCGCTAAGCAGTTCCCTGGGTTATTTTCTTTGAGTTTGTAAGGTTCTTAGCTGATGTTACAGCATGAGTGCCCAACTGACTGAATAAAGCTTTGCAACAAAGTCTGCTTGTCTTTTAAGACTGTTCTTTTAAAGCCATCCCTGCAGGCTCCTTCGATGAACTGGAGCCCAGGATGATTTATTATTTTAATATTGCCTCGCTCCATCTGAGGTTAAGAGTAGAAATAAAAAAGCAGAGGTCTGTCTGCTTCTGGAAGGCTCCGTCCTTACATTCAGTAGGACATATTCCAGCTGAGGGCTGGCTGATTTGAAGAGCTTGGGCCTCCCTCACTTATCTAGAGAAAACTTCTGGGCAGCAAGACTGAGCAATGAGGTATTCAAGGGTGGGGGAGACCCTGTTGATACTGGGCCTGCCAGGCTTCAGGTCAGCCCCTAGCAAGCAGCTCTCAGGGATCTGAGATTCAGTGATGAGCACAACAAAAGAGGACAATAAAGGTGTCAAGGCCAAGGGTACCATTTTCCAGTCCTGGGTAGCTGTCCTAGTAGCTTTCAGGTGAGTCCCAAGACTATGAAAGCAGTTACCAGATTACTGTTTAACAAAGGTAGCAGAAATGTGGCTCAACTTTGGGTAATGGTAGTGTTTAAGAACTGGTGATCAGAGTTGTGGACATTTACAGGATGTATCCCAGCAATCAAGAGTGTGAGGCAAGGGGCATTGCCACTAGTTTGAGGCTGGTTTGTGCTATATGGTGAGTTCCAGACCAGCCTGAGTTCAGTGTGAAAACCGTTACATATATACAAAAATGGGTTTCTTCAGCCAATACATATGAACCCCCTAACCCACTTCTGGATTTGAGACATGAAGGCCTGAGACACATATAAAGCTTTTGAAAGCATCATTTGTAGAAGCTATCTAAATATTCAGTAGGAGGGGAAATGAAGAAGTGATAACATGTATTAATGAAATATTACACAGCCCCTAAAAACAGTGGCTCTGTTAAGCAATCACAAAGGAAATGATTCAGATACTGTTGTGTAAAAAAAGAAAAAGCAAAGCACAATTTTGTGGCCATTACACTCACAAAATGTCTGTGTACAGAAATAAAAGTGAAATGACTTATGACTCTTGTTTCTCAGATTGCAGTTAATGTTATTTCTGTGGTTTAAAAATGAAAGGATTCGTATACCACCCAATGAATGGGAAATGGGAAACTTTGAAATTTGCAGCAGCAGCGTTGGTGGAAGGAATTCAATTTATCAGTGACTAAGAATATTTTGGAGGATTTTTTTTAATTAAAAGAGAGTCTTGCAAATATGAATATGACTATAATCCTCAGTCAAAAGATTTTTAAATTTTTCTTTAAAAATTCGATACTTGTAGCACTCGCCTCTCATCAAAGAAGTTTCTCTTTGAAGCAGATGGAGAGACTATTACAGAAAACCACAGCTTGTCAAATTGCAAAGAACAACCGACCATGAGGTGCCCAACCCCAACTGATACGTCTATGACACAGTCCCTATTCCTAAGGCTCACAGAACATGGAGGTGGAGGGTACAGAAAGATTATAAGAACCAGAGAACCAGGACATCTGATGGGGGAGGGTGGTTTTTTAGTTTCTGTTTTGTTTGTTTGGTTTTGGTTTTTCGAAACAGGGTTTTTCCATGTAGCCCTGGCTGTCCTGGAACTCATTCTGTAGACCAGGCTAGCCTTGAACTCAGAGATCCACCTGCTTCTGTCTCCCAAATTCTAGGAACAAAAGTATACACCACCACCTCCTGGCAACAGTGTCTTCTGTAAGACAGGGAAGTGATACCCAGGAAACTGCAACAATATGGTTGCCTAAACAAGACCTGAAAAATGACACCACCTATTGACATGACAACATGGATGGGTGAATTCTCCCAAGCAATTAATGGTTGCTAAGAGGGGAGAAGCAGTCTTCTCCAGGGATGAGCCCCCAATAGGCTATCAGTCCCAAAGAGGTTAGCCCTAAATACATATGAGCAACACTAACTGAACTCAGCAGGTTGTGCTTATAAATGTATATGTATGTATGTAACAATAATAAAGACTAAGAGGCCAGAGCTGAAGAGATGACTCAGCTGTTAGGGACACTGGCTGCTCTTCCAGAGGTCCTGAGTTCAATTCCCAGCACTCAAATGGCAGCTCACACTACTTATAATGGGATCTGATATACTCTTCTGGTGTGCAGATGTACATGCAGGCAAAGAGGCCATGAATTTGAGAAGGAGTGTGGGAAAACAAGAGGAGTTGGAGGCAGAGGAGTTGAAAGAGATGGAGGAGGAGGAGGAGGAGGAGAAGGGGAAATTGCAAAACTATAGTACTTATATATGAAATTCACACAAAAATAAATATTAAAAATCAAAGTATGAAAAGAATTCAATCAGGCCCAACTGCAAATCTGTAAGGGATTTGTTCTAAATGCTCAGTATTTCTTTCTCCCTCTCTATATGATGGTCTGTGTAACCATGTGTATCTTATACTCGTTGAATTGCAGTGACCTCATTTCTAAGATGCCCTTGCAGCCAACTGTCTAGATGTGCTGGTCTGCCAGTAGATGAACTGGAGAGAACTGGAAGGCAGAAGTGCAACCAGAGCCGCCATCTGCTGCTTGCTGCCTCCTGGTCCCTGAGAAGGCTGTAGACACTTGGGGTAGGGGTGTCAAGGGGATAGTGGCTTCTCTCTGCAGTAGCACTGCAGTGTCTGGCCACCAGACATATGGCTGTTGAGAGGCTTTGACGGCAGGAATGATGGCAGCCTCCCAAGCCCTTCAGGATAGCTTCCTATATGACCTCCTCATCTGTCACCTTCAGTGATGTGAGAGTTAGCTGTTCTCTTGAGAAACCATCTTGGCTATGTGCATCTGAGAGTTATCATCAGAGACCTAGCCTGGAGTCTGTTCTGCACACCTCCACCAATACCATGCATAGCAGTAGAAGGGCCCAGTGGTGGAGGACTCATTGCTGGACATGGGAATCCAGCAGCCAGCCGGGCTCCTCCACTTTTGAAGGAAGGCCTGCTGGGACAAGGTCCACATTCCAGCCCTAGAACCCTGTGTTTTGGACACACCCTGCACAGAGGAAGCAGCTCTCAGCCCAGGAACCCGGAATCAGAAGATTGGCTGCTGAGTAGATATTCTCTCCAGGGTCAGGCCAGGAGATGCACAGTGATGATTCTTTTGGAGTCTTTCATAAAGTTCCTGACGTTGGAGGCCTGAAGATGTCAGCATGCCGTCTGCCCCAGGCCAACTGGAAGTGAAGCTTAGGTCAGAAAGAGGAAGCTGCTGAGCATGCAGGGTGCACAGCCTCTAACTTTGACACGGAGACCTGTGCCAGCTCTGGTTTACAGACAATGAGGCTCTGGCCTCTGGATTGGCCTGCTTCCTCTGTAGGCTACAGCCATGGATACTTAGCCACATACTAAATGGAACACATTGGTAGATTGGGAATGAAAGCATCCACATGCTGGCTAGCTTTAACTTAAGTGCATACATTAAGAAGACCACAAACTCCTCTGAACAAACACAGTCCCTCATAACAGCACATATCTGCACCTAGAATCCCATAATCCCTTCCTTTTCCAAGGACAGAACTATTTATAGACACTTGACCTGTGACTCATCCTCAAGGATAAGTTTCCCCAAGACACAGAAAAAGAAACAGAGACAAAATGAAGGGGGGGTGGGCAGAACTGCCTCAGTTTACCAGGCTTCCTTTGATCTCAGGTGGTGTTGGATTGGGTTTGGACCAGACTGAGGGAACCTGTTAACCTACTCCACCTCTCATGAGTCTGCCCCTTCTCCTACCTCAGCCACTAAGTCCACCAGTTACCATGACACGTGGCATCAGCCAAGCCCAAGTGCTGAGAGGTGGTCCTGTTCTGCTCCTTGGGATGCCTGCCCCATGCTGCAGAACCTGAGGACACCAGCTTGGACAATATTTCTGCACCACTGTGGGCCTTGTTCTCACTCTACAACCAAGCTTCAAGCAAGCTAAAAGCCCAGAGTGGCCAAAGGAGATGTCAACACTGTGCTGGTGGCATAGGAGACAAAGCAGTGAATGCATCATGCCTGAAACAAGTCCTACATGGGCCTCTGTGTGGTGGACCACAGGCCACCCACTAGCTGTCCCCATGTCCCCTGGCATCTGTAACACTTCCCCCTCCCAGCCTATCTCCACAAATACACTGGTGCCTCCTTTACCTAGGAAAATTTCTCTTCCCAGCTTCACACTTTAAACTGCAGCCAATCCTCCTCTCCCTTCCTGAGGTTCTCGAAAGGTGAAAGAGTTACCTCCTCTGCGTCACTCCTTTATGGCACACTTTTCAAAAGCCCTGCATGGCAAAATATTTAACCCCTGCCATTTTCTGCGGGTTCCCAGTCTTAGAAGGTTCTGTAGTGAGATATCCACCCCACCCGCACCTATAGCACTGACCACTTCTGTTTGGGCATGGTCACAGGTGAGGACGTGACTGGGAGTGAGTTTAGGTCTGGGGTCCGGGCAGGTGACTCTTGCATCCGGTGGGGTCATGGGGAGCAGCCTGTGCAGATCCTTAGAGCGGGAACCTGTGGTGGCTATCTGCTTCTTCTGCAAGTGACCTCCCCCAAAATAAATTATATTTAACCTATATTTGAGCCTGGTCCCATAGATCATTTTCCTTGCCTCCTCAAGGTTCACTGATGACTTCAATACCAAGTCAGCCCCTGACCCCCAGCTCCTGTCACTATCCTGTGGGGAATGAATGTATTCTAAAGGGGTACCTATACCTCTTCATTCTCCTATTCCTAAGAAATTGGGATCTCCCCAGAAGTCTCACACCTGATGAAAGAAAGGCCGCTGCCTGGGTGCCAGCTAAGAGAAATTTGCCTATCAGGAAAAGATGTCACACAGCTAATAACAATGTGTCAGACCACCTAGCAGAAGAGACAAACTGGGACAAAGATGACAAGTGGGACAGTAACTACAAGACTGCTTAGTTATGTATACCTCTTGTTTTCTATTTAAATCTAAAGCTCATATCGGGACCCAGAGCATGGATTTGGGGAGGGAGGAAGCTCCATGGACCCCTTCCCAATGTGACCACATTGAATAAGTTCTGCTTTCCACTATTAATTGTGATGAAAATAGGCCTATTAAAGACAGCTGGCCAAGCCTACTTTGTTAGTACTGCTAGGTCCCCAGCTCTGCCCCCAACAACTCTGGTAATATCCCCAACATGAACTTCTAGATGCAACCTCTGGAATTCCTCCCTTACTTTCCACTCTTTCATCCCACCCACTCGACTTCTCGTTCCTCTCTAGGTTCTGTCCTTTCCTCCCTTCCCTGTGGTCCTCTTGCCCATCCTAATTACCAAGTCCAGCTTGGTTTTGCATTCTGTCCCAACCTCTGCTATTCATGCCTGGTCCATATGCTCACAGACAGCTCCACCTGAATATTCACCTACAGTTCAGAGTTGATTGGAGTCTTGGGCCTGCTATACCAAAATGATTCTAGGAGAAACAGTTTGAAACAACAGAAGTTTATTATCTTGTGAAGAGTAAAGTCGAAGGTTGGGAGGACAATAGTGTCTTACTCTCTAACAGCTTTTCAGAGAGGACCTTGCTGACCCCTTCCAACTGTTGGGAACTCCCTGCCACCTTGATGTTCTTTGTGTGAGGTCAGAAAGCAAAAAGACAAAGGAACAAGCCACTCCACAATGCAACAGACCTAAGGAATAGAGATCTCTAGTATAAGAAACTAGAAAGCCCACTCTCTACTTATAGACTGGGGCATTGAAAGGTTCCTTTTTTGGCCTCTACTTGGCCATTGCTAGGAGTAGCTTAGAAGCTAAGTTGAGTGGTGGAGTGAAGAATGTCAGGTGATGGAGAAATTTCTCTCATGGCCACATCTCCGGGAGGGAGTAATGATATGGCAGAAAGGGTTTGGATCTGGAAAAATAAGTAGTTTTAGTTCTGGAGGCCAAATTACTAGAGTTTCTGGAATGGCCATTGATACAAAACACTGTGGCCATGACTAACACTCCTGACCTCATTTCTATTTACTGGGTAGACAGGAGGGCATAGTTGGTGCTCTCACAACTTCTTCCTGTTACATAGGAGTGGTGACTTCATCTAGGGGTTCTTGGGGAAGTCTTTTATATTGGAAATTTTGGAGGATGCTGTCCATATGCCTTTTGGTGGTGTCCTGTACAAAGGAACCAAGTCTCTGGGACACACAATGGGTTAGGCAGTTAATAAGACAAGAACCAAATGTCAGTAGGAAGAAAATGAAGAGAAGAGGTCCCAGGAAGGGAGACAGCCATGGCAGCCAGTATCCAGGATCGGGCCACTGTCCCCAAGAGTCAGAATGTTGGCCAAGTTCTGACGCTCGTTCTCGGAGTTTCCTTGCCGCGTCTCGGACTATTCCAGACTGGTTTACATAGAAGCAGCACTCTTCCTGGAGGAAGAGACAGGTGCCCCCTTTCTCGGCAGTGATGAGGTCCAGAGCTCTGCGGTTTTGAAGAACAACACCTGCGAGCGAGTCTATTTGGTTCTGGAGGGTAGTGATAGAGGCAGCTATTTCATCCAGGGTATCTGAAAGAGCCTTTGAAAGCCGTTGGAAATAAAACATCGAGGAAGCCAAGCCAGCTATGCCGGTACCAAGGGCAGAAGAGATACCCAGGCCTGCAAGGAAGGGGAGGAGGTGTGGGGATCTCTTTGGGCGAGAAGCTGAGGCTGAGGAAAGAACTGAAGCAAAAAGGGGGACAAGCACCGTTTGGTTATTGGGGAGTAGTTCAATGTCTGGGTATTGGAAGACAAGGGTACAGACACCGGACCAATTGGCCGGGAGACAGACATAAGTTGATGTTCCACAGAGAAAGAAAACTCCTGAAGAGTTGAGACAGAAGGAGTATGAGAAGGTAAGAAGGTGTGAGAATATGTTTGAGGTGACATCCCAGTTTTCATGAATAGTGACCTCATTTTCCCACACAGAATATTGTCCAGATAGGGCAGCTCCTGTGAGGGGCTGGTAATGGAAGTATGGATAGGGGTCCCTGTGTCCCTGGAGTTTGATCTTGAAGTAGGTAGGGTTCACTGACACAGTAACAGGGTGGGTTAAATTGTCTGATTCATATAGAGTAAGATTATAGCAGGTACCAGAGGGAGAGAGAGGACAGCGCATCCAGGGAGTGGCTGGGGAGGTGTGACAGTGTTTGACATCTGTTGGGCAGGGATAGTAAGAAGGTTTTGTGGAGACAAGGGAGGGGGGTCCCGAAAAGCGGAGTGGATTTTTCCATTTGGCATCTGGTCTTTTCATTGCCTGTTTGAATGGATGGATGGTGGACAGATCTAGGTTTTCATAACTGGTAGAAGGTTCCATGTGGAGGGTGTAGTTGCAGAGAGAGGCAGGGAGGGCGCCTACAAAAGTGGCATAAGCTGAGACCTTGAAGAAGCGGGAAATGCAGAGAGGGGCCTGTGACTTGAGGAGAGTCTCGGTAAAGAGCGGTCCCCACAAAGGGCGTTGGGCAGTTTCGAAGAAGTGGTCCATATCCGGATATATCACAGAGGTGAGCCGGGTGATGATGGGAAATATGCCTGTTGAGCTGACGAGTTGAAGAAAAGCGATAGCCCGTCGATCGGAATTGTGGAAAGAATAGGAGGCAGTCAGTGGGTGGAAGACTTGGAGGCGCCTCTCGATGTTAGTGATTGGATAGGAGCCAGGAAAGGGCTTGACCGAGTAGGTGAGGTGAAGCTTCATGGGTGAGTCTGTCCAAGTGGACAGAGGAGCTGGGACCGCTAGAGAGCGCTGGGTTTGGGTGGACAAGCAGACCCAGCAGTTGGAAAAAAGGGAGGAGTTGGCTTCACGCAGGATGTGGTGGGTAAGGTTTATAAGAGGCATCCAGCTTTCGGGATAGGACAAGGAGTAGGGGAAAAGGGCAAAATAGAGGACCCAAAGGCATGTCATGGTGCTTTGGGAGTGGCCGGCAGTAGTGCAGGATGCAGAGATGTTGGTCCTGTGGATTCTTGAGTCCTGAAACTTGTCCGGTTGGGGTGTACAAAGGTGGCCGGTTAGTCCAGTGGCTTCAGGCCCTGCAGGTTATGAGTTGAGAGGTCAGACCTGTGAGAGAAGAGCTATAATTAGGGGAAGGGTCACCAGAAGGATTAAGAGTTTTAAAGTTAGGATCTAGAGCCCCTTTGAGCTCAGAGTGGCTTGGCCAGTGAGAGATGGCCTCTACCTTTGCAGCTATTGGGGTACTCACACTTACCTGGCGAGGTCCCTCCTGGGACAGAAGTAGCCATTTTTTTATTTCTACCAAGTGCTTTGTTACCATAGAAATAAAAAAAAAATGGCTCCATTGTCAGATGGCAGAGATGAAAGCAGACCAAAGCAAGGAGTGATTTGAAGAATGTGAGCCACCTCTTGTGTCCTCTTAGACCTACTGGGGCAGGTTTCTGTCACCGAGAGGGCAGCAGTTGGGTGAAGCAGATCTGCTACTTCTGTCCTAGGAGATGTCCTGAGGCTTGGTGAGTGAGGAAGGGGGTGTGGTGTGGAAGGTCTGTGACAAAGTGCAGAGTGGACATAGGTCTTGAGCAAGATGAGCAGAGGTTAATGTCCCACACGGGAGTAATCATGTAGCGTGGAAAGGGGACCCACTCTTGAACAGGAAAGGGGACAATGGGAGGCTCAGGAATCTTTGAGGATAGCTTGATACCCCCAACACGTACACACACACACACACACACACACACACAGAGAGAGAGAGAGAGAGAGAGAGAGAGAGAAGAAGAAGTGGATAGGTTAAAAAGGAACAAGGGCTGGAAAGATAAAAGTGAACAACAACAACAACAAAAAAAAGGCTCTGTGTGAGCAGACTCCAGAGGACTGGGAGTGCTTGAGGCAGAGACCAGTGTTACCTGTTTACTAAGGGTGTCATCTGCCAGTGTTGCCTTTGGCTATCTGATCAGAAATGCCTTGGTGGCCTGTGCAGTGGATGACCACTGTTGTCAGAGGCAGGCAGGCAACATGAAGGACTTTGTTGTTAATGATAGGGGTGCTCTGCGACATGCGAAAGCCTCTCTCTCTTTCCAAATTGTGGCATGAGAATTAGAATGCGGTGTGCATATTTGGAATCAATGTAGATGTTAGTCTCAGCCTTTGGTTTCCTGCTAATGTGAGGGCCAGGGCAGAGCAAAGAGTGTTTCTTGCTGTGAGGTGGCAGGAAGGGGAGGGTGGAGATTGAACTATTTTAGTAGTATCATCTATGACAGTGTCATAGCCTGAAGCTTGATGGGATGGATTTTATAAGGCAGCTCCTCCGGTGGGGTTGGAGAGGGGACTCAGTGGCTAAGAGCACTTGCTTCTCTTCCAGAGGCCCAGAGTTTGGTTCCCAGAAGCCACATGAGGTGCCTCATAACCATCTGTAACTCCATCTTTAGGAGAATCTAATGCCTCAGGCCTCCATGGGACCTGTACTTACATGCATATACACCATACACACATGCAGACACACACACCTACACATAATTACAAATACTAAAATCCTTAAAAAAAAGGGCCCCCATAAGCAAGGTGTTCTTTTTACTTGTTTTGAGTTGCTTTTAATTGTTTTTTTTTGGGGGGAGAATGTTGCAGAGGTGAAGGGAGGGACTGGGAGTTGAGTGGGATTGAGGTGCATGATGTGAAATTCCAAAAAAATCAATAAAAAATTGTGTTATATTAAAAAGAGCTCCCACCAATGATCTGATTAGAGGCCTCAGCAATGGGAGCATATGACAGATGGCTACAAGTGGGAAGCAAAGAGTCAAGGAGATCAATGCAAGAGTTGGAGTCCTTTGGAGGACCAAAGTCTTCATGAAGGAGGGTGGTTGGATTAAGAGTTTCATACCTTTGAAAGGTGATTGGGGGCTGTGGAGAGATAAAAGAATGTATGTGTCTCTTTAATGTGAAAGGGAAAGAAAATAGCAGTGACTTATGATCCCAAGGAGACTGTTGCAGGCAGAGAACTAATGAATAATGAGTTAGAATGTGGGTCGGGCGTTGGTGGCACACGCCTTTAATCCCAGCATTCAAGAGGCAGAGGCAGTTGGATCTCTGTGAGTTCAAAGCCAGCCTGGTCTACAGAGCCAGTGCCAGGATAGGCTCCAAAGCTACACAGAGAAACCCTGTCTCAAAAATCAAAACAAAACGAACAAAAAGAATGTGAGCTAGAGGGCTTGTATCATTAAGACAGGAATCTCTGAGAGTCTTTAAGCAAAAGGGCCAAACCTATGCTACTGAAGTCTGTTTAGTCAGGCAGGCTACTACTTGGGGGTGTTTCCCCATAAAACTGACAAAAGACTAAGACCTAAGACTAAGTTATGAGAGGAGTATACAGACAGTAAAAGGTTTGGAGGGGTGTAGAAGTAGTCTCCTTAACCTTGAAGAAAGCAGGTTGGATAGGTGGGGAAAGTTCCAGAGGTTCTGAGTGATTTCTACAAGTAGTTTGATAAATTGGTTTGGCTAAGACCCCAAAGTGGGAAATCCATATAAGAAAGTAACCAACCCTCTAGGCTCAGAAAGGAGAGAAGATCCCATTTAGTTTTGTTGTTGTTGCTGTTTTGTTTTGTTTTCTGACAGAGGGAGTATGTCCTGGGTTGTAGCTTTGCAGCTTTGAGGTATGCCACAGGAAGAAGAGGATAGGGTGAGGCCAAAGTAGGCTACCTGAGAGAAAACTCTGGGCATCCCTAGTCTGCCAGGAAATTAAGGAAGATGGAGATGTATTGTGGAGACAGGTCACAAGAGGAGCCACTGAGAAGGTTGTCTACATCTTGGAGAAGAGTGCAGGCAAGAGTTTGAGGCTTTGCAGATCATGAAGAGAATTTACAGAACAAAGAGATGAAGGATCTTATGGAATCCCTGTGGAAGGGCTGTCAGGGTTAGCTTGGTGGAAATTTGGGTGACAGGGTCTGACCAAATAACTGCAGACTACAGAAAGACAGGTGGAGAGAAAGAGTAAAGTATCTGTGAAATCCAGGACCGAAAACCGACAGATGGAGGAATGTGGGATAATGTGGGATAGTTTGGTCTAAAGACTGAGGATCACCAGGGGAAGAGAAATTTACAATTTGGTTAATCAGGCAAGTCTTGGACTAGGTGATGTAAGAACCATCTGGCTTTCAGACTGCCAGAATAGGCGTGCAAGGGGGGGGGATTCTTAAGTCCTAAAATGTAGGCTTTAAGGACTCAGTAATTATAGGTTTAAGTTCCTTGAGGCCAATCAGGAAAAGAGGGTATTGGACTTGGCATACAACAAAACAAACAAAAACAGAGGGGACCTATAATTTAATCAACATGGAGGGTTGAAAGGTAGCAAAAGTGTGGTAGGCAGTATCCCAGGCCACAGGATGAGTGGAGAATGAAGAGCTATGAAGGCGTCCTGGGACCCAGTAAGGTCTGATGGCAAAGTAGTAGGAAGGAAGTTGCTTTGTCATGTCCCAGGAGAGTGGTTAGACAACTGGTAACAGGGAAGGGGATGACCCAAAAGGTTACACAGTCATTTGGGTATGGTTGGAATGACTTTCACCCCCACAGATCAAGAAAATTCTGGTAAAACTGAACAATTTCCTCTTGTATCAGATAAAAAGGAAATAACCTTACCAGTTACAGACAGCGTTTCCCTGGATTGAGAGAAGGTGGTGGTGGGAGCAGTACCTCCGCAGGCCCAGTTAGTTGTCAGCAGCTGTCCATCCCAGAAAACTCACCAAGCTTGAGTCTTATGATTGGGACTTGGCAGGAACTGTCATCTTTTTCTCCCCTCAGGGGAGCAGGAGTCAGTGGTTGTAGGCCGCAGCAGGTCCTTGCTCTGTGGCCGCAGGTGGGCTAGTCCTGAGTGTGGACTGTGTCACTCCCCTATTTGAGTTACCCTGCAATAAATCCTGGAGTAAGGCTGCTGCCAGCATTTGGTATTCTGTTTGATCTCTTTTGAGTGTTTGAGTTTAAGATTCTCCTCTCTGTTATGAAAGACCTTAACGGCTATTTTGTAAAGTCTCTTTGAGGGGTATGAGGGGCATTCCTCTAATAGCTGAAGTTTTTTCCTAATGCGGGTACTGGCAGAGAGATAAAATGAAGGTAGAGATATGATCTCCCATCATGGGTGCCAGGGGTCAGAGCAGTGTATTTGGCCCTGGTTTCAGGTTTTCGTCAGCTCGTTGAGTAATCTCTTTGATTTTTGTCATAAATTCCCTGCCTTAAAGGCACCTTTTCCCTTCCAGCCTATGCTGGAACCCATCTGGGAACCCATCTGAACTGCATGACAATTGGAGTAGGTGTCTGGAACTGCCACAGCACCAACTGGGTTTAATACCTAGCCTGGCCATGAAGACTGCTGGTGTGTGCATGAGTTGCCATCCAGATACACTTCCTATCCTCCTAAGAAAGGGGGGCAGCCAAGGTGACAAACGTCATATCAGGTCAGGACAAAGGACTGGGTAAGATATTGACATTCTTTGTAATATGCACTGAGTTGGAGACAAAGGAGGTCAAACGTGTTTCTGTTTGCAATAAATCAGTGACATAAAAGGGAATATGGACGAGCATGAGGTGGGCCTTCAGCAAAGGCCACCTCACAGAGCAAAAGAATTGGAGCGAACTTGGTCAGGAGGAGCTGTTGAATGAGAACAGGTGTGAGGCAGGGAAAGCAGGGAGCAGTGGTAGAAGGAGGAGAGGAGAGGTTAGTGGGTTAACCTTTAATGCCAGGCCTGTGGGGGATGGTGAATTCAGAGGTCTGGCTGGATTGGGAGAAGAGTGGCAGGGGCAGGGTACTGTCACTAGAGGTGGGTCAGCCATAGGCAAGAAGTCTCATCTTCAGAATGTAAATCCAAGGAGAAAGGCAAACCAGGTGCTCATTTGGAAAGAGCGGCATCAGACTTACGAAACTGGCTGGGGAACTGGCCAGCTGGACCAGTAGAAGGACCTGGATGGTGGAGCAGAGGCAGACAAAGGGTGATAGGGAACCTTGGCCCGTTTTCCACTGGGTTGGAGGAAAAGTTCAAGGTTCTTTTGAACCTGAGGGCCAAGCATGCTTGTCTCTGGCCAGCAGTAGCCATTGTCAAGGGCATACTTCAGCCAGGACAATAATACAGTATGACATGAGATATTTTGACTTCATAGAACCATTGAGTAACAGGCTTGATAACTATGTGAGTGACAGTGCCAAAGACGACTAGGCATTTTAGAGAATGACTGGCCATGGCTGAGGAGTGAGAGGAGGGGTGAGAAAGGGGGATTTGCTCAGCAAGAAGCAGTACAAAAGGAAGGGGCGTCCCTGCAGCCCAGTGGCTCTGCTTGGTGAGAGACAAGTCATGATGCAGAGTGGCAATACAGTCCTGGAAAAACACTCTACCCAGTGTTGAGGTCTCGAGGCAACCAGAGAGTGAGTCTCCTCTCTGCTTACAGGTTGGGGTGGTTACAGGACAGAAGGGGGAACAATAGAAAGGGACTAATTTTCCATCCCATGTTTGGCCATTGATAAGGGTAGCTAAGGCATAAGGTGAGTGATGGATTAAGTAAAAAATTGTCAGGTGATGTGTAAACATCAACGACAGCCATTTAGGGCATCAAGATGGTGGGAGAGTAAGAGCCTAATAATATAAGCCACTTTGGTTTTGGAAGCCAACTAATTTTTGTTTAGGAAACTGAACAAAATGGGAGAGTTTTTTTAATGTTTAACCAAGTGGTGTGGCCAAAGAAAACACTGTTCCAATGCCCACCTCCTATATGGCCTTCCTCCTGTGGTTTTTCTAGCTCTCCTTATAAACATACCTGGTACACTGGATTTAGGGACTACCCTATCCTAGTATGACCTCATCAGCCATGATAACACCTGAAAAGACAATAAAGTCACACTCATTGGATTTGAATGGACATGAGTCAGCTCTGAACAGTGGGGTACAGCAAGAACCCAAGGGTCTTGGGTCTAGTCCTAACTTCTACCCTTATCCCCCTTTCAAAATAAAACAATGCTAATCTGGGGTTGGGCTCAGTTAGGGCAAAGCCCACTACAACTGTTTTCAGACTAAATTGATAACCCTTTCTCCACAATTATGACCTTTTTCCCTTTGAATTCTAAGTATTGAACCTAGGACCTAACATCTAGCAGGCAAATAGTCCACCACTAAGCTAAATCCCCAGGCCTCTTTTTAGTTTTCATTTTGAGACAGAGTCTCTCTACATTACCCAGGCTGACTTTGAATTTACTTTGTTGTCCAGGCAAATCTTGACCTGCAGTCTTCCTAACTCAGCCTTCCAAGTATCATGATTACAGGCCTGGGCATCAACTCCTTCCAACACCATTTTCCATGATTTTTTTTTTTTATTACTCAAAAGGCTGGCAAACTTAGGACTTCCCTATTCTTCCTGACTCAGCCAGATATGTCTCTGGCTTCTACAACAGAGAAGTGTTGTAGTGTAACCCCCTTAGAGTCACACTGATTCTAGAACTCATTGCCCAAACTGGGCCACTCTTGGGGATAGGAAAATAACCTCTTCATCACTTCAGGACAGAAAGGACAACTGAGTGTCCTGACAAAACCAGGACACAGGTCACCATAATCCTAGCTACTCTTTGCTATTTAATCTCCCACCATCTCCCTACATCTCCTGACATCTTATTAGAAGGAACCCCCAGAGACACACACATATACCTCTACCCATCAAAATTGCAGCCAATATCCAGTCCCCAGTGCCAGGCACATGGTGCATCTTCCATGGACCTTCTCTGACCTCTCATTAGGGAGATAAAGCCTGACACAACACCCTGCCTATCCTCCTATTCTCAACACCTTTTACTCTATAGTATAGTTCAGGTATGTCTTACCACTCCTGGCACATGCTCAGCTCCTTAAGGACATACACCGAGTTGACAAGAAATATTCCTAACTCAATAAGAATTTATTTGAGAAGGAGTTCCCCATTCCTTTACAATAGCCCTATAGCATTGTAGGAATCCATGGTTTGTAGAGGAAAAAACATGCTGTGACTCAGGTTTGAAGACTGAATAGATTATAGAGAAACAAGACAGAAGGGCCATATTTAATCCTTCCAAAGTCTCTATTACAAAAGGTAATTAGGAGGCCACTTCTCTTAGGATAACATGGAGTTACAAAACCAAGGACCTGGATGAGACCTAGAACATAATCTACTCTCTATATCCCATTTTATAGGCCAGCAAAAGAGATCCAAAGTAAAGGAACTTGTCTTGGAGTACAAAAGAGGTTGTTGATACCAAGTGATGCCCACTCTTTGTTTTGTTTTGTAGTATTTTGGTTTTGTTTCTTGTTTTGTTTTGTTTCAACCAAGATCTTAATTTATAGCCCAAGTTAACCTCGAATTCACAGCATAATCCAGGGTGGCTTCAAACTTACTGTGGCCCTTCTGCTTCAGCTTCCCAAGGGCTGAAATTATAGATGTGAGTCACTCCCACCGGATCAATATTCTCACCTCTGGAATAAACTCTGAGGCCGATAGGATTCCTTTATTGCTGCCATTAGTCATATCTCAGATATGTGCTCTATGAATCAGTGGTTATCTATTCCCCGTGTTGGCTGACTTCCCCTAGACGGTTTACACAGAGGTTTTACATCATGAATAAGACAATCCGTAATTACAATCATCCAGGCAGCATAAATGCCCCGTTTCAGTGCCTCAGTCAAACAACTGAGAAAAGAAGGGTGCACTTTAGGAGAATGCAGATGGGGTGGCAGGAAAGTCAGAAGCACGTGGTTGGGAGACACACTGGAATTAAGCAGAGAAACTCCTTTGCTTCCAAGAGCTGCCCTTGGTGAGAAGCCACCCCCTGGAGATCAGGAACACCAGCCCCTACAGCTGTGCTTGTGAATTTCACGCTGGTATCCTCTGTTAGAAGCATCTATTTATATGCAGCTTGTCTCTCCCAACTTTCAGCTTCTGGTGGGGGACCATTGCAGAGCACTTGCGAATCCACAGGAGAATATCATGCCAAGGAGCCCCGGGTCACCTCCCGACAAAGCAGGGTTGAGTTAGCACCAGGGGCTCTCGGGTGATGGAGAAGAAGGGCTAACTGTGGGTAACCGTATCTGTAGTTACTTCAGAAATGGCAAATAGAAGAGTGTAGTGGTGCATGCCTATAATCCTAGCCCTCGGAGGCTGAAGCAGGAGGATTGCTATGAGTCTAAGGCTCATAAATAAACGCAGTGTGTAAATATAGTGAATTAAATATAGTGAGTTCCATGCCAGCCAACATGAATTACAGTGAGGTGAGAGAGAGAGAGAGAGAGAGAGAGAGAGAGAGAGAGGGGGGGGGGTGATGGAAAGATGGCTCAGGGGTTAAGAGTGGAGAACCCTCAATTCCCAACACCCACACTCCAGCTCAAGGGATGGCACCCTCTTCTGCTCTCCATGGGCACACACGCACACATGCACACACACACACACACACACACACACACACGAGAGAGAGAGAGAGAGAGAGAGAGAGAGAGAGAGAGAGAGAGAGAAAGACAGAGAGAGAGAGAAAGAAAGCTTTAAAAAATAAAATTTCCAAAACAAAAATGGTAACCCCATTTTTTTCATTCCTTCCTTGCTTCAAGCAGCTGTTCGTCTGACTCTCAGTAAACCTTGCTTACTTGCAAAAGTAAAAGTTGAGAGAGTTGGAAGGGACTGAGAGAACAGAAGGAGGGAGAAAGGTTAGCACAGGGAAGACTGTAAGGAGTCCTAGCCCCTGGCTTTCTAAATGACCCACTATGCTAGTGGGAGGTTCTAATAGCCAAGATTCCCAATGAACTGTGCTTGAACCAACTGGATGGTACATTTCCCCTAGGTTAAAGCTCCAGTTACACATAGACTGAGAAGTTCTAATTCGGCTTTGTCAGTTACAGGAGTCC